TTTTCTTATAGAAATATCATACTAAGAATCATTGATAATTACTTATTTTCAGTATTAAAAATACTGGATAATAAGTAATTATCAATGATTTTTAGTATGATATTTCTATAAGGGTAGAAGCTTAAGAATATTAAAAAAAGTTTGCAAAAAGATTTCTACCTATATGGTTAGGTTTTCCGCTATATATAGTAAAACAAAGCAATACACATTTATGTAAGTTCTATATACAAGAATAACCCTTACAGAAATATCATATTAAGAATCATTGATAATTACTTATTATCCAGTATTTTTAATACTGAAAATAAGTAATTATCAATGATTCTTAGTATGATATTTCTATAAGAAAAATGCAGATGCGAAGATAGAACAATGTTCTTCAAAATTTTTCTATTTGAAACATCCACACTTTCGATATATACTAAGCTGCAGAACTTTTGGATTAGGCAAATATTACGCTGACAGAAATTTTATATTTAAAATTTTTGCTTCGTTTTCGTCACATATCGAGCAACGTTTCTATTTATTTTTGTACCTACTTTCATTACGTAAAAGCATTTGTAATTCTGTATAACCAATACGACGCAAACTTTGCAGAAAAATATTAGTGTTCTGTCGATAAAATTTTCAGCTTCAGCATCCCCTTACTAAAAAATACTATTAGTGGTAATAGTGTCACTAATAGTTTCATTAGCAGTGTTAGTAGTTTCACTATTAGTGCTAATAGTGACACTGTTAGTTACACTAATAGTGTTGATATTGACACTATTATTGTTAATACTGGCACTGTTAGTGACTCTGATAATGACATTAATAGTTTAATTGTAACACTATTAGTGCTGATAATGACACTACTAGTATTAGTAGTGATACTATTAGTGACACCAATAATGTCAGAAGTGACACTACAAATGCCAATAGTGGTAATAGTATTATAAGTGACACTTGATGAGCTGATGTATATAAGTATGTAAACTTAATTATTACTATAGAAAAACTATGAAAAATAATTCATTATTACAGGAATACGTTTATAAGGTTATTAAATATTATTTTTTCTACACAAAAATTTATTTTCTATGATAATTACATTTCTACCCAATCAGCAGACAATGTTTTTTAAACGTTTTTTAAATATTTATTTTTCGTTGATATTACATTGTACAGTTTATTGTAAAAATAATATTTATTTAATATTTATTATACATTTATATAACATTTATTAAAGATGTATTAACATTTAAAATAAAGATTTAAGAAAAATATTTATATATTTATTTAACGTTTTTATACATTTATTTAACGTTTATTTAATATTAAATAAAACATTTAAAATCATATTTAAAGAAACGTTTATTTAATATTGATATAATATTTGTATTACATTAATCAAACATTTAAAATAATATTTAAATAAACATTTTTACATTTCTTTAATATTGATTTAATATTTATTTTTCTAACATATTTTTTACATTAAAAAAATCTATTCTTTTCTTTTTAATAAATCATTTGTTTTCTTACATGCGGGCGGAGCGCTGCGGCTTATATGTGTGTCGCCCTCTTTTGGGTCTTTGCAGTTGCTCTATTATTCTTTTGTTATATTTCTACGTGGCTACCGTTAGGACGTTAGCTTAAAAAGATGAAAGATGTAATATGGGCTACTTTTTATCACAAGTGCAAAAAAATCTATTCTTTTCTTTTTAATAAATCATTTTTTTTTTGTACATAGATATACCATCTGTATAAAATATAAAGTGTCTCTCGGTGAAAGTGACAGTGGCGCAGTGGGTAAGGTGAACAACTCAAGAAGCAGAGGTCTTCAGGTTCGAGTCCTAGCATGGTAAGCAAATTTTCGAAGTACAATTTAAATTGAATTAAGTAACATGAAACAATAAAGTGGAAAATTTTTTAAAAATTCAAGAAAAAAGAAAAATATTTATATTTTTTAAAATATTTTTATAACATTTATAAATGTTCACGTTTAATAAATATTTAAAAAACGTTTATTAAATATTTTAGAAATGTTTTTTTCAAAACATTTGAAAAAACGTTTTTTTAATGAAAAAGAGTGAACTTAATCCATTGTTTTTAACGTTTTAAAAATAACTACTAGAACTATTACCACTAACAGTATCACTATAGCGAAAATATCATTAGTGCTATAGTTCTAACAGTGTCACTAATAGTACTTTGTCATAAAAGTCCCCTTAACGATTACTTCCTTACATGGTCAGACAATAATGCATCTTCCCTGGCTTTCTGTAAAAAAACACAGTAATTTTTTTAATCAGTTATAGACAATTTAATCATAAAAATAAATCGAAAGATAATATAAAATAATATAGTACAAGTAGCATTTTTGTCTATTAAGATACAAGACCAATGCACGCATGAAATTGTAAGTGTAATGTTAATTTTTTATAGGTATTGTATAAGGTGTATATTTAAAAAATATTTTTATCACATTTGTTCTTATTGTTTACTTATGACATGGCAAATGTTTGAATTTTAATATTAAAATTTAATATTAAATTGATAAAAATGTGTTTATATAGTGGAAGTATAATAAATGAACTCCTCTATTAATTAAAATATAATATTTATACAGGATATCTGAAACCTCCATGATCACACTTTTCAAGAAAGTAGAATGGATTGAAGTGAGCAAGAAAATCCTGTGCCGTTTTGCGATATTCGCAATAGTTTTCGAGAAATTAATTATTTTGTTTCAGCTAATGAGAACAGAGGAAGCGGCAGCTGAAAGAAAGATGTCTTCGGCGCGCGACTATGATACACGCGATATATGCGTCCCTCCGCCCATAGCTACGAGACATAGCAAGGCTTAATCTGACATTCAGTAACAACAATGACTAATTAGCCAACCCTAAAAATAACTGCACTATCTTCTACTAGGTAAAAACGTAATATAAACAGACCATCTCGTGTATTTTTATATTTATGTTTACTCATGCAATAGGGAAACAAAGACATTCAAATAACAAAACTGCAATGTATTTTGATACACATGTAATTGATACACTAAAGCCAACGGCACACGATACTGGATTGCTTGCTGGATGGAAATACTCTATTCTGATTGGTCCGTTTTCAGAAATGCACCAATCAGAACAGAGTATTTCCATCTAGCAAGTAATCCAGCATGAAAACAAGCATCGTGTGCCGCTGGCATAACACATGTGCATGACATCCGTATGCCAAATCGATTTCTTTCGGCTGCCGCTTCCTCTGCTCTCATTAGCTGAAACAAAATAATTAATTTCTCGAAAACTATTGCGAATATCGCGAAACGACACAGGACTTTCTTGCTCACTTCAATTCGTTCTACGTCCTCATAAAATATGATTATGGCGATCTGAGATACCATGTATATCTTTTAACACACATGACATTAAGACCAAAAAAACCCTAAATATAACTGATGTTTCATGGACAGAATGTGTGTGTGTATCTGTATAGCTACTTTCTCCAGTTTCCACAGTTACAAAAATCATAAAAAGTGTGACCAAAGGATGAATATCAATAAGGCCGTTTTTTGAAGGCCACGTCAGAATCATTTCAAACTGTGCTATTTTATTCATCTCGATGGAACTCAACTCACTAGAATCGTTTGATGTTCAAGTAATTAGATGTTGAGAATGAAATCTAAGATCTCAGATGGTGTATCACGCATAGTTGCAATGTCTGTTTCATTTCACTCTGTTATCAATGAACCCCATCACTATATTTTCTCAAAAACTAATCGTATATATGGTGCATGAAAATAGTGCATATCAAAATGGTGCATATCAAAGCGGTTATTTTACCTCTCTCAACACATTAAAATCGAGCTTCGTATTAATCAGTATATTTTATTTTCACCAAGTATGCAAGCAATAATGTTGCTTATAAGAAATTGGACGATAAAATTGTGGTTTCAAATTGATTTAGAGAATTCAGATTATTTAGAAGATATGATAAATACTGCGGAGAGAGAGATAGAGAAAGAGACAACCTCTTTCTTACCTCCTGCACGCTTGTAAAATTTAACAACCCTTATAGAAATGTCATACTAAGAAATACTGAAAAATTATTAGTGATTAAATATTACCAGTAATTCAGTAATTTTTTGACCAGTACTTAATTTCTGGTGAATACTGATAATAAAATCGCTGTTAAATATTGATAGTAATCAAATACTGAGAATTATTATGCGAAGGTGAAAAATGAGAAAATCATAATGTTTACAAAAATATACTTATATTCCTAATTCTCTTATGTCTCATAAACTACTAGATATCTAAGGTCAACACATTCCAAACACATAGTAGACACGTCAAAATGACATCCAAATCTAAGTAAGTTCAGGATAAAAAATAACCAAGAAATTATCAAAAATATCGTGAGAATATCGTCAAAATGATAGTCTAATGTCACAGATCGATGACGACATTTTAGATGACTTAATAACGTTTTATGACGTCTCTAAACGTCAATAATACGTTTTTAAGACGCTATACAGAAACGTCATTAAGATGTCACAAAAAAGACGTTTTAAAGACGTCGTTATTTAGTCACTTGACGTCATTCGACCAGTTATGACCAGTTTTTTACGTCATTTTGACGTGAGTCTGTTACTTGAGTTGATTCTTGTGTCGTTCACCTTACCTACAACGTCACTGTCACTTTGATTGAGAGACGCTTTATATTGTGTACATATGGTATATCCATATACGAAAGCATATGATTTATTTAAAAGAAGAGAATAGATTCTTTTAAAATATATGTTTTAAAAAGTATGTAGAAAGTATATTTAAAAAATATTTATATGTTTTAAAAGTAAGTAAAATAAATTATTTTATAAATTTAAATAAATAATAAATAATAAATTTAATAATAAATTAAATAATAATAAATAATAAATTTAAATAAATTTTTTTCTGATAGTAAAAGAAACTTTAATTTGAAACAAAAAAATATTTTCTTATTAGAAAATAATGTATTCAGATTTATAAAATGATTTACTTGTATTTTATTTACTTTTAAAACAAGCAAATATTTATTTAAACAGTTTTTACATTTAAAAACACTAATTTTCTCCTTGTAAA